TAACCTTCTGTGGAACCTTTCTACCAGACTGGTGAGTACCTGGGGTGTTATTGTGAGGGGGAGTGCTTGTGTGTGCCTGTGGTGTCTATGAGAGTGATGCAACTACACTGCCTTAGTGCTATACATCAGGGCGATCCATGGACCAGGTAAAGAGTGCTCTTACTGTACTAGTCTACTGTTGAGGAATCACTGCCATTTCTTATTATGCTCTCCTTTCCAGGACCTTTATTTGTCTCCGTGCCAACCAAGACTTCTAGGCTATTGCTTATCTTACTGTAATTTTGATTCCCTTATGTCACAGGTTAGGATGTTCTGTTGAATATTATTGTTTACCACAAAGTTGGACCATATTGTAAAATTCGGCTCCTGAACGGAATACTACAGTCACCTCTCTGGGATTTTCCTCTGGAGGGTGGCTGCCTAGCTTATCCTGTAAAGGATATTTGGTGCCCTAGGGTTTATCCTGTACCAATGGCTCTTGGCTTTGTTCTTAGCTTAAGTATAGTGTTGTTTGGGAATGACCTGTGTTTCATTGTCCCAAATTTGTTCTCAGGGTTGGAGGTAGGCTTAGCTAGGTATTATATCTTAGGGTGATTGAGCTAATCTTCACATAGCTTTTGTGAACCCCTGTTGACCGGATCGCAACACCGTCCCTCTAATCACCTCCTATTTGAATGATTTCACAGCCGCTGCGGGGGCCATGCAGATCGACGACGCATCTGCAGTCCTCTCCTCCCACTCCTCCGATGTGGCTGCATGGGCTTGTTGGAAGGGGTTATCGGTGTCCATCCCCAAATCCCACTCTACCCTCTTCACCTCTGACACCCATCAATCACAAACAGACCCTCACGTCAACTGGGAGGGGTCCGACTTCCCACTTTGTCGAACCCCGAAGATCCTTGGGGTCAGTTTTGACCCCCACTTCACCTTCTCGCCCCACATCGCTGAAATATGCCAACAAGCCTGCCCGCGCCTCAACATCCTCAAGTCCCTCACCGGAACCAGCTGGGGACAGCAGAAGGAAACCCTCCTGGTGACTTTCAAGGCTCTTATAAAGTCCCTCTTCACCTACGCTGCCCCAGTGTGGTTCCCCAACGCCTCTCCTTTGGCAATCTCCAAGCTGCAATCCATTCAAAACTCTGCCCTCCGCATAACCACAGAATCTCTTCTAATGGCCTCTGCTTCCCACCTGCATAGCAAAGCTGAGGTCTTACCTGTGGCCGAACACCTCTCTCTACTCTGCTCGCAGTTCCTGGCCTGTGCTCTATGTCCACACCACCCCAGCTACCCTATTGTCACCCAGACATCAGGGCCCCGTTGTATGAAGCACACGCTTCAGTCCCGCTTCCTCCCTTCTGTCTCTCACCTGCTGGTAGAGGGATCCCTTCCCCCCGAATCCTACTCCGCTGCCCTCAGCACCCTGCACAGCTCCGCTGTCTCATCCTACCTGGCCTCAGCAGTGTGGACCTCATCATACCAGCGTGGTGATCAAGCATGGACCTCATCATACCAGAAATCCCGGAAGATGGAGGTAGCGCTGTGCAGACTAAGGATCGGCCACACGCGCCTCACTCACAGCTACCTGATTGAACGCCGTCCAATGCCGCATTGCAATGATTGTTTGGTACCCCTGACGGTCTTGCATGTTATGGCGGAATGCCCGAACCACAGTGATACCAGGCAAAACTACCACCCCAACACTACTGCCCTCAGCCCTAATGAAATGCTATCTAGGATGCTGAGGGAAGTTCCCCGAAGCATCTTCAGAACTGACAACCTTAGACAATACCTAATCGAGTGTAACCTGCTAACGGAAATCTAGCACGGCGCCATGACATAGGTCAGAATAGACCCACACCTTTGTCAAAACACCACATTTGTGTCATCACATTGCTGGTTGAGATGGAGTAACAAAAGATGGACCAAGCCTGCACCTTGGAAACCAAGAAGTATACACCCTAGACCAGATGGATACGAGCCCGAAATCAAGAAAGAAACCTGACCCTGCAAACCGAATATTGCACCTTCGGCGCGAAATAGACGAAACTGATCTGGAGCGCTAGAAACCTCTCCCCTACTACTACTACTCAGCAGCTCCCAACAAGGTGTTTCTGACCCCTGCCCCCACTGTCTTGTCCAGCAAGCTTTCCCTCCCCAGGGCGGCCAGAAGCGCCCTTTCCCAACTCCGCTTGGGCTACTCATCGCGGCTCAACTCGTACCTTGCCCGCATTGGTGCAGCCAACAGCCCACTCTGCCCTGAGTGCGGTGCAATAGACCGCACCACCCATCACCTCTTCAACTGCCCTTTGCATCCCACCTCGCTGACCCCACTGGACCTCTGGTCTAACCCTGGGCCAACTGCGGCTTTCCTCTTGTCGCTCCCATCCTTCACCGACATCCTTGAAGCGGAACCTCCGCTCCCCCCTCCTTCCCCGGAGCCGCCGCCTCTTCGTGGGCGCCGCCGAGCAGCGGTCCTGGGCAATTAACAACAACAACAAACCCTTTTTCAGAGCTGCACATGTTTCTTCCACCAATTTTTGGTAACTGCAATTGCCGAAGGGCCGATCGTTTTTAAGAAAGTCTACTTTTTTTCTTTTTCTGGACAGTGTTAGTTGGCCACTTCAGTGATGCATAATTTAATTAACTCACCATCAGTAAAGGGTTTTTCTTGCTTTGCCAAATAATGCGACACACGGAAACTTGCTCTTGTTGCAGCTTAATTCTTGACATTCTTTTTCTTGAACAAAAATTGTTGCACTGCTAATTTGCATCTCAGTGCTTCCAGCTTGTCTGTAGAAAGCTTTCCTCTGAGTTGCAAAAAGTTTAATGATGATCATCCTTGGCGGGCTCCAGCACAAAAAAAAAACACTTGCTCACAATTATGACACTTAGAATGCTGGAGCTGGCTGGCAAGAACAAAGCCCTTGGACACAAACCACCTGAAATAAGCAGCACATAAACCCAGCTCCCTAGACAGGAGAGAGTACATGGCCCAGGGTGCAGAAGGTGGAAGCAGCGTCGCCAATATATGGGTTTTTAAGCCCAAAGTGTTGCCGACCATTTTCAAGATGTGTCGCCGGGTAATTTTCAATGAAAAGCCATTTACGCTGAGTAATGAAAAACTATTTTAAAGCCACAAACTTATTTACAAGGTTGCATGCACGTGTTACTCCAAATAACTAATTTTACCCTAAAAACAGTCTAATTGTACCGCAAGTGTCAACTGAACATGTGATGATGCATCTGATTGCTCTAATGTGACTGCAACTATGATTTTGTTTACATTTTTTTGGCGGGAACTCATCGCAACCAATTTCCGGACAAGCTTTACTGCATCCTGATCCATCCAACGTACTGGAAACCTTACTTTTTTCTAAATAGTTGGCTGAAGACTTACAAATATATTAAATAGGAGAATTACAATCTAAATGTGTCGGCAAGATCTTCTGAAGGCGTAAATTTTGCTACTGAAGTGTCGCCAAAGATCTTGCAATATTCATCCACTCTCTGCACAGCAGAGTACACCTAGCTAGGCCTCGCTGCTGCCACAACCCCTCACTACAAACGTACGCCAACAGAATTGGCCAAGCAGACTCAGACACCTGTCCATCCAGCCAAGGAGTTCCTCACACAATCACTCACATTCTCCTGGAATGTCCACTCTGGCAGGACCTCAGACAACACCACCACATAATCTCGGCCCTACAGGCTACAGCTCTGGAGCGACCCCCTATCGGTGGTGTCGTACTTGCGCGAGGGAGGTCTCTTGTAAAAATGAGACTGTTGAATCATAACAACAACAACTGCTAAATAAGTATTGAGAAGTAGCCATTAATTAATTAATATCAAACATCTAATGAGATTATTTACAAATTTATTAGAAAAATGAGATTCTCGCATGAAAAATTGTTTTCTATTTAATTTTTTAAATAACTCATTGCAAGAAGTCAAGCTGCATCCTCTTCTCATTTAGTTTTAGTGAAGTGTCAATAATCTTCAAGTTTTGTACTTTCATTGCCTCATTGGCCAATGGCTTTTTCTATTTTTATCATTTTAACTGTGCCAGAGGTAATGTTTGATTTCTGATAAATTTTAATCATACTACTTGTCTTTTATTTAAATATTTTATAATTTTACCAAGTATTTTGGTTTAAAACTTATATAAATGATAGTCAAGTGCAATACAGCTTGCCATCTCAACTGATCAACTGGTCGTTTACTGATTTAAAACAAAAAGTGTTAAATTTACAAAGAAATACATGTAACTGAAGTCAAAATGATTATTGGCAGAAGTTTTTCTGTGCATACCAGTGGCTGTATGAGGAAGAATGTTGCTTATATTAATTTATAGATGATCTTGAAGATTAGAGTTATTTTGGGTTACTGCACATACTGGAAAAAAATTTTTATGCTAGAAGACTCTATTGCATTGTTCTTCTGGACACACAACTACAACAGTGAGCGTTAGTAGTGAATGCTTCATTGCACAGCTGGCAGCCGTAGTGAGATATCGGCTGTCAGCGTGGGAGGTTTTCTGCTCCTCTGTGAGCCGCTCCTCTAATTTAAGTTTTATGTTCCCAAAACCCAAATTACCAAGGTAATATAAAATGAATGTCTAATTGCACTATGTGTCTGTACATTTTGTTATAGGTGATTCAGCCAAAACAAATATAAAGTTCTATGATGAGTAAAAATAAAATTGGAATGTATTTCTGAATGATTTGATTACATTTCTATTTGAATGTATTCAAGACATTGATTGTTAGCATGGTAGTGGCAGAATTTTCATCTTATAACGGTACTGTGAGTTTAATTGTCAATAATTTTGTAAAATATTGTTGAAAGGTTAATTATTCAATTTCAATACAAATATTTAATTGAAACATAGCTTATGATTGTTTTAAGGCACTTATCTCTTTTACATGGTCTCATTCAACATTCTTCTTTAGTATTTATATATATGTCCTAACAAGTGCTTCTAAGTTTTTCATTTCTTACAGACTATACCCTAAGATAGTTGGAGGTTTTTGGTTTCATTCAAAGCAAAGGAATTGTTCACAAATACTCTCTTTTTTCTGTGATTATTCTGTGATTTTGATAATCATTACTTGGCTGCTGAGCTTCTTTTATGATCAAGTATCTTGTTCATCAGCAGTTTGAAGCCATAATCAGCATTTGAAAGCTGAAGGCAGAATGTCATCTCGCAATAGTGGCTATATGTCAGGCTCCAGCCAACAGCCGGGTGGAAGTGGAGTGGGCTCTCCTCAGTGCCTAAAACTCACAGATCTTGACCAAATCTGGGGTGACCTCAAAGAAGGAATCGAACAGGTAAGACCAGTAAAACTTACTTCAGTATTCATTAAACAAATTGGGATTAAGTTATTTGCTTAATTTCTTTCTGATAGTGCATGAACTGGTATCAAAATGGCTACTGGCTAAAATATTTGCCACCATGCAAATACCATTGGTAATGCAGCATTTTAGTTTTTGACCATGTTTAATAAATGTTCGTTGCCTGGAAATAGGTGGTTAAAAATTTGGAAGTGAAGATAATGCCAGTGATATTTACAATACAATATTTGACTAAGAGTATGTGTGTATATATTTTTTATTGAATATTTAAAATTTTCCAACACTCGTCTTTGCTTTGCAGGTGTATAAAGGGGAAGGCATGTCCCGACCACGCTACATGGAGCTCTATACTCATGTTTATAATTACTGCACATCAGTAAGTCACTGCAATTTAACGGTTCTGTTTGTCATCTATTACCATATTCAACTTCAGAGCTCTACACCCATGTTTACTATTACCACACGTCATATGGTTACTGTAACATTTAGAGTTACGGTATGTCTGTTATCTATAATATAGATTTTATCAATCAATCTTATTTAGCTTCAACAATAGGTGTAGGGTCCATATCTATATTGCAATAAAAAGTTGATGGTGTTGAATAAACATGTATAAACATGTTTATGTTAACATGTATATAACCCTAGAAGGATTATAGATATGTAAATAATCCTTATACTGAAATGAAAAGCATAATTTTGGTTCCTATCCTCTGTCTAATATGGTTTGCTGGAAAAAATAGGCTGTGGTTCAAATTTAACCTGTGCAGATGCTGTAACTTGAAATTTTTTTTCAAGAACAATTTTTTCTCGACGACTCAGTGGCCTTATGTGTATTGGAACTACATTTCCGTATTGATTTTTCTTTTGTTTCTTGACCCTCAGCAATCTGTCAGAAAAATATTGAAGCAAAATTTTTGTAGAATAGTTGAGTTTCAATGGTACTTTGACTAAGCAGATCTCCCAGTATATTCTTGGAGTGGGTATGAGGGCTGTTTCCATGCTTCAAATTTATGAAAATTGGCTTTGTTGTATCATTTCCTCTTGATTTATTCTATTAGGCAAAATATACTGCGATCTTATAAGTGTTTGAAATGTGAGATATAATATGTGTTTGATTCCTACTTACTTAAGGTTCAGCAACAGTCTACCAGCAAATCCAACAGTGGGGCCGGACGCAGCAAGAAATCTTCTGGTGGAGGCAGCAGTTGGAGTGCTGGAAGTGGTGCTCAATTTGTTGGCCTTGAACTTTATAAACGTGTTAAAGAGTTTCTTAAGAACTATCTTTTGAAATTACTCAAGGTAATTTGTAGGAGCTTTACAGTTTTATGTTCAGACTCTAGTGATGTTTGGTTAGAGTATATTAGAGAGTAATTAGAGAGTAATAATGTACATAAACCAAAAATATCTTGTTAGGATATGCAAAGATGTTAACTTGAATATTTTGCCATCATGATAAGTGAAATTGGCCACAAATTTATTTTTAGTTTGCATTTAATTATTAGTTAAAGCCCTATAATCATTAGTAGTCAAAATTTGTTGATAAGTGTGACCAAAATGAGTGTTCCATGCAGGATGGAGTAGATCTAATGGATGAAGAGGTACTACGTTTCTACACCAAACAGTGGGAGGCGTACCAGTTCTCTAGTAAAGTAAGCTATTTCAGGAACTGATTACTTCATTAACTGATGTCTTGGTAAATATTTTTATAACCACTATGTACCTCACTCCTATCCCTCAAACCTATTTCCTGTGAAACAATAGCTTCCTTATTTTTTTAACATTCTTATTGAGGGTAAACTGATACAATGCTATATTACTATCGATCGACTCCTTGGCACTTCCTTTCTCATCTTTGATTTTTTGATTACCTATGTTCATTACTGTTCAGCAAGGTTGTGTCACAATTTTTTTTTTTGTTTACATTCATCTGCAGGCCGTTTAATGAGATACTTAGCAATGTGATAGGTTTAATTATTTTATTGCGCATTTCATGATTCTTTGAGTCTGTGCGTCAGGTTCTGAATGGCGTTTGCGCTTACCTCAACCGGCACTGGGTGAAGCGGGAGTGCGAGGAAGGCCACAAGGGCATTTATGAGATATATCAGCTTGCCCTTGTAACCTGGAGAGACCATCTCTTTGCTCCTCTCAACAAACAGGCAAGTTTTTCTCACAATAATGGGGTTATATTTGTATCTGTCACAAGGTTTTTTTTTAAGTTTCAGGTATTGATGTTACTTTTTCTATGCATAATAGCATTTAAATCATTCGGTAAATCTAAGTCATTCGGTATCTATGATGATAATAAATTAGTATTCCATAACTTTATCTCCAGGTCACAAATGCCGTATTGAAGTTGATTGAGCGCGAGCGAAATGGTGAACCTATCAATACAAGACTTGTATCAGGAGTTATGAACTGCTACGTAGAGCTGGGTAAGTGGCATGAACTGCTACGTGGAGCTAGATGAGTGACATGAACTGTTATATGGAGCAAAGTGAGTGGCATGAACTGCTATGTGCAGCTCGGTAAGTGACATGAACTGCCATGTGCAGTTGGGTGAGTGGCATGAAGTGCTGCGTGGAGTTGAATGACGTGCATTGTGTCAACATGTGCCGTGTTGAACGGAGTGAATCCTTTCCATCCCCAACTAAATATGGTTGACAAGAGATGTCGATTGTATTGTGGTTGTAAATTAATACCAATAATTATATTGTCCTAAAGTGATGTTAAGTTCAAATGAATCATTTAAACCATCTTGACTTGTTGCGAAAACAGATCAAAACTCAGGTTGATATGCTTTATATGTTTTTTGAATGGTATCCTATTTATAATAATTGAAAATTAATTCTTTTGTTCGACAGAACAAAGTAATATTTTAATTATATAGGTATTTGGTGTCAAAGAGTATAAATTTTAACTTGTATTATTCCTTTGTTTGTATTAACTCATTCATACGTAATCAAAAAAAGAGAGAAGACTGTCGTATCAGAAAACTCTTTTAACATGATCATATTTTAAGGTCTGAACGAAGAAGATCCCAGCGCCAAGGGCCAGATTCTCACGGTGTATCGGAACCACTTTGAGAAAACCTTCCTCGAGGACACTGAACGCTTCTACACACGTGAGAGTAACGAGTTCCTCCGCAGCAATCCTGTGCCTGAGTACATGAAGAAAGCTGAGGCCAGACTAATGGAAGAACGCAAGAGAGTCCAGGTTTGTTCACACCTTTGAGTATCTTAGAAAAATACCTTTTTTACATTGTGGATTGTGTCTCCAACGTAGAGTTGGTAAAAACACTGAGTTTATCGACATGCAAAGGCTTTTGGTTCAGTAAAGGAACTTGCTTATAGGTCACATGTCCTTAGGTATTTGTTCTTTGATTTTACTGAAAGGCTGTGGCCTATTCTGCTGTGGATTATCTTGCTGATGCCACTGAACAGTTCATCCTATCGAAATGCATGTAAATTGTGAAGCGAGTTATGAGCAAGCGGATTCAACCGCCGATACTGATGGTGATGGACGTTCATGCCACGCTTTTAGTTCTCTCAATAACAACTCTCATTTTCAAACTTGCGGCCGTGCCTAACCCTAGTCTTAAGCCTTAAATGCTCTAATGAAATTATGTTCTACTACTCAATTAAATCCCCACTGTAGCTCCGCCAGTGTTATTAATATATTAATAACTGCGACCCCGGACATTTCTGATGACAGGTTTACCTGCATGAAACAACCCTGGAGAAGGTAGCATCGACAGTCGAGAAGGTGCTGATCAAGATGCACCTGGAGGTGCTGCACGCCGAGTTCCAGCACCTGCTGCACGACGACAAACACGACGACCTCGCACGAATGTTCCAGCTCGTTTCCAGGATACCAGACGGCCTGCCTGAGCTGCGCAGTCTGCTGGAGCAGCACATCAGCAACCAGGGGCTCTCCGCCATCGACAGGTACATCTATCTTACCTGGGGCCGTTCTATCAATAATAGTTGAAGAGTTCGTTTCTCAGTTAGAAATTGGTGACGGCATTTCAAGATGAACCCACCTACACGGACGCGCGATCAACCGCTACGTTCACTTAGGACGCCACGTGTATTTGAACGAGTTTTGATAGTATGGCTCCTGAGTCTTTTAAGATTATGCCTTGCGTATTTCTTAACAAATAATGCGATTTAGTTTTCTTGGTTATATCTAGGAGAAAATCTTGTTTAAATTTGCGGTAATCTGAAAGATTATCTGGTGACAGTTCAATTCTGAACTTTCAAAAGACCCCTTGATTACCGAATACGACTGTACCATTACCAAAATGGGATTACAAATACTATTTAAGAGCGTAATTAATGTATATAATTTAAATGATTAATTAAAAGTAATCATGGGATTGTTCTGATAATTCAATAGTCCTAAACAAATCACGATCAAAACGAGTTAATGCTTCTCACGACAAGAGTTATGTTTGAGTTGTACGAGTTGATGATCTTTTCAGAAAATGTTCAAAGCTTTTTCAAGAATCTTTCAAATTTAAATGCGTTTTTGTCGGTTTCCATCCAACGTGCATTCTTTATTATTAATCAAGTTAATTTTTACTCATTTCCTTTATATACCTACTACTAGAAGATTTCAGCTTTACTTTTCATAACACATTGTGAACATGAGGTATTTTTTCCAAAAATGTCCTGCATTATATTTTGTCTTCGTTTATCCGAGTTGTCAATAGTTTCTTAAGCATTTATCATTTCTATTAGCTTATTAATTCTAATTAAATTTGGGATATGTCTGCTGCGTAGGCTTAACCTGAATTATCGGAACTACCCGATTTTTCGTGCTTAAATTCTTCATCTCAAGCATTTAACTGAACAGCTTATTAGTTCTAATTAAATTTGAGTTCTGTCTGCTGCGTAGTCTTAACCTGAATAATCTGAACCACGCGATTTTCGTGCTTAAATTGTTCTTTTAAATTCAATTGTTTAATTAAGCTCAATTTTTTTAAGTTCAGTTGTTCAATTGAGCATTTAATTGAACAGCTTTTCAATTCTTTGTAACATTTCGCTCGACGTCCCGAACAGATGCGGAGAGAGCGTCATCAACGACCCCAAACTGTACGTGCTGACGATCCTGGGCGTGCACCGCAAGTACAATTCCCTGACACTCACCGCCTTCAACAACGACATGGGCTTCGTGGCTGCCCTAGACAAGGCGTGTGGCAAGTTTATCAACAACAACCTCGTCACGAGACCGCCAAACTCGTCCTCAAAGTCACCTGAACTTCTCGCCAAGTATTGCGACTTGCTCCTCAAAAAGTCTTCCAAAAACCCAGAGGAAGCTGAACTCGAAGATACGCTCAATCAGGTCAGCTCATCTCATGATATTTTTTTCTCTGTTCCTCTTAGATAAAAACTTTCTATTAGATTGAGACATTAGATACGAGTCAGTCGTTGGGGTCATATACATATATGTATGTTCGAGTCTCATGGGTACTGGAAAACTTAAAGTCGTGAATAAGTTTTGAACTTCTGATAAGTTTAATGCTCCTAGTACTGATGCTTGCAATGTGAAATTTTGCTATAAAAATAATTTTTTTCATTTAGTAATCTTTATTTTGCGTTAATATTTAGTTGAAAATTCTTGTTTTATGCTTTGATTTACCAATTTGTATGATAGTTTCTGTAGACCTGGCGGTGGTTCAAATAATTCTTGTTTTTTTTTCTCTTCCATGCCCTGTTTTAAAATCAGTTATTATAGTTGAATTGGATTACATCCATAATGCTTGTGCCTTTAATAACAATAAGCACCTAAATGACACTCTAATGTTTGTCTCTAATAATGACCATTTGCACCTAAATGACACTCTAATGTTCATTAACCCGCACAGGTAATGATTGTGTTCAAGTACATAGAAGACAAAGACGTCTTCCAGAAGTTTTACAGCAAGATGCTGGCCAAGCGTCTGGTGCAGCACATGTCCGCCAGCGATGACGCCGAGGCTTCCATGATCTCCAAACTCAAGCAGGCCTGTGGCTTCGAGTACACGTCCAAACTCCAGAGAATGTTCCAGGTTAGGGATTATTATTACAGGATATATGGCTGCAGGATTGCAGGGCATGTATATTATTATATTTACAGCCGTAGTCAAAAGGCCAAATGGTGATATAATTTACTCTCTATTGTAAAATTTTTCTTTGAGAAAAGATTTAATGGTGATAGTGATAGGATTAATGATGCTATAGAAGCGCCCGTGAAAAATGGCCGTATGGAAATATAAGAAGGCAAAGAGAAGTTGATTCTAGCTTGCCTCCGTAATGAATAGTTCAAGTTAGGATCAATAATTGCTTGCTTTTAAATTCAATTCGAGTATATTGAAAGACTTCTTGGTCTTGGTTAAGACGACAATATATAACATTGCATGGTTAGTTAACCATTAAATAATTATACAAAACTTCAAACTTCTGCACCATTCTAAAATAATTATATTGATATATTTTTCTGCTTTCAGAAATAATTCACTCCTACTTTTGTGCCACGTAAGAATTCACACTTCTGAGCTAGTGAGATTTATTACTGATAGGGAAGATACAAGTAAATTCGCACCTGGAATGTTTGAAGATCCCAGGCTTTCGTGACCACGCATTTGAGAGTAATTTTCCTTTCAGGATATCGGCGTGTCGAAAGATCTCAATGAACAATTCCGCAAACACCTTGGCAACTCAGTATCGTCTGGAGAGACTCTGGACTTGGATTTCAGCGTCCAGGTTCTCTCATCAGGATCGTGGCCTTTCCAGCAAGGGCAAAGTTTCACTCTACCGCCTCAGGTAATACAGTAATAGGAGTTATGTATGTGAATTCAACAATAGTTACATTAATATTTGGTTTCCTACACTTTTAACTGGCTTGAAGCTGTTTTAGCTAAGGTCACTGTTTACTATTAGAGCTAAGTTCCCTGTTTACTGTTGGAGCTAAGGTCGCTGTTTACTTACAGTCATCGAAAAAAACAGGACATGGACATATAATTCAATCAACTGCTTAGAGTAAACCAATATCCGAATTTAGTTGCGCAATTAAATGGGATCTGAAGTTTGTAGCACAGCTTCAGGTTATAAATTGTAATTGCCCTAAATGAGACCAAATCAATACAAATTGTAGCTTGCTATGCGGATTGCTGTGTCTGCTCCCAGCTGTGACTTCCTTTTCATACAGCTTGTATGCTGTGTCTGAATTTTTCGTCGTCAACCTCGTGCAGATGGAACGATGCATATCACGGTTCACGACTTTTTATTCAAATCAACACAATGGACGCAAGCTGAGCTGGCTCTACCAGATGTCCAAAGGCGAGGTTGTCACCCACTGCTTCAGAAATCGCTACACGCTTCAGGCTTCGACCTTCCAAATTGCCGTGCTGCTTCAGTTTAATTCTGGCACCAGATGGACCATAGGGCAGCTGCAGGTAAGCTTTTTCCGCGAATGCTTCAGTTCTGATTGATTGTCATCAGCGTAGACCACCACAACTGCAGATATGTAATTGGTGATTATTTCGATTGTAGCTACAAGTATAGAATTAATTAATGCCTAAAATCCTGTACGTCACGAGCCTTATGTGAACCGTAAACCTTTTACTATGCACTTCTTTGCTTAGTGTTGCTATTCGTGTCTGTGTTTGCTCACAAAACTGCCCATAAGTTGAAACAAGTTGCTCTGTAATGTAGTGAGCGATTAAATTGTATCGCTGTGTAACTACTATATTTGTTACGTAATTGCGAAGGTTGATTTTTTAAAATTCTGTTTTTTGTTCATCAGGCGATGACGAGTATCCCTCAGGACATCCTCCTGCAAGTGGTGAGCATTTTATTGAAGGTGCGCCTCGTCGAGTGCGACGAAGGTGAGGACCTCAACAACCTCACCAGCGACTCCACCATCTCGCTCTTCACAAACTACAAGAACAAGAAACTCAGGGTCAACATCAACGTGCCTATGAAGACTGAAATGAAGGTAATTCAACATTTACTGAAATTCTGTTGAAACATCAGTGTTGTTGAATTTGTTTACTGAAAACTTCACGGAAAGTCGAGATTGAGATCGTAGTAGCGTGTGAAATATTTGAGGTTAGTTGGGCTTCCACTAGCTCACCTGCAACCGGAGGCATTGTTGTTCAGGGATTCTATCTTGCTTTAAATAAAATTGAATCCTTTCATATCATACACTAATTCATATAATGACTATTATTAGTGTATTTAATATCAATGCACTAAATAATTAATTTTATACAGATTGAGCAAGAGCTGACGCATAAACACATAGAAGAAGACCGCAAGCTGCTCATTCAGGCGGCCATCGTGCGTATCATGAAGATGAGGAAGGTGGCCAAACATCAGCAGCTGCTGCTCGAGGTGCTGCAGCAGCTCACGCCGCGCTTCAAACCCAGGGTTCCCATCATCAAAGTAAGTATTCATATTATCTGTTGTCTTCCATTTTGAATACTGAGCGCCTTTTAACGATCGTATCTAATTTTGTACTAACTTTATTTCAGATTCTAATCAACGTAAAGTCCCTTGTATATCCTAGTGATCTAATGCTCAAGTGTGTTCTGGTCAAATGCTCGAAAACAGCAGGAACTTACTGTAACTGACGAATCTATTCTCAATAGGTATTTATATATCATGAATGCTTTACGATCAAGTCTTTGACGCTTGTTTGCTTACGTTGAGTGCAAAAATTACCTCCTTTTAAATCCATCTTCCAGTGCGTCTTCGAAGCGGTCTAATTTCATGAGAATCGTCTAAACAATTTTTACTATTTAGTATTGGGTCTTTGGGTACATGTCGCGATTCTGATGGGTCTTTAACATGATTGCATTTGCGGTGTCACCTCACGTCCTTTTCCTTCTTTTCAGAAATGCATAGACATCTTGATCGAGAAGGAATACCTGGAAAGAATAGACGGCCAAAAGGACACGTACAGTTATCTGGCTTAGGCTTCGTAATTTTTAGTGTGTAAACGATAGTTTTTGATTGCTTCGGCCGGCGATCAATCGGGGAAATGTTTATCGATTGGTGAAATGAGAGTGTCTCCTACGTTGTTTCGAGTCAGCAACGGCTACATGTAAAATGACAAGCAGCTAGCATTTTAATTTTGAAGTATGAATAATTTAAAGAAATTGTGATTTCATAGCAACATATGCTTCCTTCTTGCTTTGAAGGCTGCACGATATTGTCTCCAGCCGACCATCTTTGTTTCTTACTTTCTCCCAGTGGAAAAGTAGATAAAAGTAACATTTTACGTATGGTTGAGGTACCCTTGGGGAATATGAGCAAGAATATCTTGACAAATTGCATCCAAGGCAAATGTTTTTAATTCGAAGCAAAATTTCTGTCTACATAGAATTTCCGGCTACGTGATAGCTATACAAGTTACATGAAGCTGTCTTAGCAGGGAGTTCACCTATGATTTAACGACTACTTTCCGTACATCTCTTATAACCGATGATATTTGTATACATAAAATTTTTTGCTTTTTATTGGTATATTGTGTTGCGACTTCGATAGTATTCAACAGGATGGTGCGTCTCGGATCTTATATTCATCGAGTCCAGTATTTTGAATCGGATTCGAGTGTCGCTACGCGTTTGAATTCTGAGAAAACCGAAGTTTCTTTACGGTATCTATAAATATTCAGAGAATTCGTTTACATATTTACGGTCTTTATGGGATTGAAAGCGTCAATAAATATCCAGTTGTTTGTCTGCAAGAACTGAACTTGATAAATGCCGAAAACTCTATAGAATTCACTGGGTTAATGAAACAGACTCGCTGTCTCCCACATCCTTATAAGTAAACGCAGAACCCTACCGTGATAACTGACCCTGGAGATATGTTACATCAAGTTGCTTGACGTTAATAAGAGCACTCGAGTTTATAATTGAAATCACTTTTCCTGTTAAGTTTGTGTACTTACATACATTAAAATACGATTTTTCAAGTGTACGAATATTTATTTCCCCCCACTGTATATCATGAATGCTCTACGATCAAGTCTTTGACGCTTGTTTGCTTACGTTGAGTGCAAAAATTACATCCTTTTAAATCCATCTTCCAGTGCGTCTTCGAAGCGGTCTAATTTCATGAGAATCGTCTAAACAATTTTTACTATTTAGTATTGGGTCTTTGGGTACATGTCGCGATTCTGATGGGTCTTTAACATGATTGCATTTGCGGTGTCACCTCACGTCCTTTTCCTCCTTTTCAGAAATGCATAGACATCTTGATCGAGAAGGAATACCTGGAAAGAATAGACGGCCAAAAGGACACGTACAGTTATCTGGCTTAGGCTTCGTAATTTTTAGTGTGTAAACGATAGTTTTTGATTGCTTCGGCCGGCGATCAATCGGGGAAATGTTCATCGATTGGTGAAATGAGAGTGTCTCCTACGTTGTTTCGAGTCAGCAACGGCTACATGTAAAATGACAAGCAGCTAGCATTTTAATTTTGAAGTATGAATAATTTAAAGAAATTGTGATTTCATAGCAACATATGCTTCCTTCTTGCTTTGAAGGCTGCACGATATTGTCTCCAGCCGACCATCTTTGTTTCTTACTTTCTCCCCGTGGAAAAGTAGATAAAAGTAACATTTTACGTATGGTTGAGGTACCCTTGGGGAATATGAGCAAGAATATCTTGACAAATTGCATCCAAGGCAAATGTTTTTAATTCGAAGCAAAATTTCTGTCTACATAGAATTTCCGGCTACGTGATAGCTATACAAGTTACATGAAGCTGTCTTAGCAGGGAGTTCACCTATGATTTAACGACTACTTTCCGTACATCTCCTGTAACCGATGATATTTGTATACATAAAATTTTTTGCTTTTTATTGGTATATTGTGTTGCGACTTCGATAGTATTCAACAGGATGGTGCGTCTCGGATCTTATATTCATCGAGTCCAGTATTTTGAATCGGATTCGAGTGTCGCTACGCGTTTGAATTCTGAGAAAACCGAAGTTTCTTTACGGTATCTATAAATATTCAGAGAATTCGTTTACATATTTACGGTCTTCATGGGGTTGAAAGCGTCAATAAATATCCAGTTGTTTGTCTGCAAGAACTGAACTTGATAAATGCCGAAAACTCTATAGAATTCACTGGGTTAATGAAACAGACTCGCTGTCTCCCACATCCTTATAAGTAAACGCAGAACCCTACCGTGATAACTGACCCTGGAGATATGTTACATCAAGTTGCTTGACGTTAATAAGAGCACTCGAGTTTTTTTGCTTCGTGGGCAATAGGGTTTTTATTTAATCGTACTCAAATTTTTGTGTTCTTCTATTGCAATCTTCATTTATTATTTCATTTTTCGCTTAGGTACATTTTATTTAATGAATCAGTTCTTTGGCATGTTTGGACGATCTATCCTACATATCTTTTAAGTTTCGTTCGATGAGCATATATCTGCTACTCAGAACTTGTCTTTGCTGTTAATAACAACTTTCCACCAGGAAACTATTGTCAAATTCTGTGGAGCAGATACCATATCCGCCGTGTATTTTTGCCAAACAGGTTGTGAATTATCGAATCAATATGAATTCTTTTGTCTTTGTGGTGATCTATTTATATTTCATTAACACTAGAAAAAGATAGGTACGTATCATTCTTTAAGTAGAACGGGGGCATAATGTGAAAGTTAGGCATTGAGTTTGTCATTTACCTACGTCATCTACAAATTGTAGAGGTTTTTGCCCCGTCTATAAATTTGAATTTAGTCCATCCACAAATTGGTTATTTTTTATCCTATAACCCCTTATGATTTTCGTAATCACCTTCAATGTCTGTATGATATTATTTTTCGTTACTTGCTGGCTTGTTGTTTGTTGAAATATTGCATAAGTTGTTTGCAATTGACCAGTCGTTGTAATTTTGCCATCATGTGCTCGCAGGACTCGCGTGCACTTGCATATATTTCAAATTTTGCTGCATTATTAATTGCATAAAAGATCCATTATTCATACGTGCCCCAGCACGCATGAATAATGGATATTTTTGGGATGCGATTCTAGCCTAAATTCCGGATAACTTTGCTTACCTAATTTATTTTTGGCAGTGAAATGGTGATTTGAAGACATTTGCTATCAAACGAACAATTGGCATGTACAAAAATTGTAAAATATTTCCTTCGACAACCATCTGTCCGATGGAAACCTATTAATGGCTAATAATATGGCTGGCGAATTAGTTGCGAATTATATGTTCGCTACTTCGTGGCGAAAAGAATGAGTAGGATTATAATTTTAGCATAAAAACTAGACTTTGAATCGACATGTCCATAGTGTTAACCTTATCAAGTTCATATCACACGTAAGTGTTCTCATTTCAAATTATTTTGTGATTCTGTTGGGTCAAGTTCATTATTTTATGATAAACTCTTTGACGTCATAAAGAAACTCCGTTATCTTCTGCATTGGTAGAGTAAAATGAGGAAGAATTGCACGATTTTACCTTGTGTACTGGTTTTGCGACTGTTACATTGAACTATTGTCTGTCGTCAGCATTGCCTGTGATGTAGTCGTACAGCAAGGAAAGTTTCTTCTTATTCATCTTATTCTTCGTTTCTTCTCTCATTTCTGCTTATTCATCTACATCGGCTCTATTATCTCATTATTTATGTCAAATTCATTTCATTGCAGTTTACACAAATTGCCTTGAATTGTTTAGCGTCAAGTGGGTTTCTTTGAACTTGATTCCCAACTGTTGTTGTTATTTTCTCCTTGCTTGTGTGCAAATTCGTTTATTTATTGCGTTTTCTTGCGTCTCGTGTTTAGGTCTGCTCATCGACAACCGCGAGTTTGTTCTTGTCTGGACAAATAGGCATGGCTACCTATATTTGTACCATCATCATTTATTAGCCATTAATTGCAAGAATTGCTGTCGGTTGATAAATTTGTTTATTGTTTATCGTATGTTCCTTATAAATAGGTTCTGTTCCGTCCTATTGCGTCGTGAGTAGTTTGGCGCGCTCATGCTCGAGTGTGGAAAGTGCTTAATCGCTTTCAAGTAAATCAAAATTTCACTTGAACTCCAGCAGCTGTTGTTCCTTATTGAAAAGGTTTTGCTGCGGTGTCCAAGGGGTTTGTGATACAGAAAAATTGGCGGATGGATTATCCCCGTTTTGAATTGCTAATGAACAAAGTTGAAAGACGCCACCCGGTAGTCTTCGACATTTCATGTACATTATTCATGTTATTAATAGCTTACTTGTGCTGTTGGATTTATTCTTGTCGAGATGGATTTCAATTCACATTGTATTAGATACTCGAATAATCTTCGACAAAACGAAATTTGTGTGGTTTATACACCATATACTTAAATTACGTTTTTTTTTTGTCGTACCTCTACGTTACGGTGTGATCATGTCAATTATCTGCACTCAAATGAAATTTAACATTATGTGATTGCTTTACAGTAAGCACTTCGCTTCCCATGAAGTTATTTCTATGTGCTGAATGTAGCTAGGCTTTCAATAATTAAGTCGGAGCTTAGTTGAGGTGCGAGAAATAAGAATGCGTTGGAAACATTTTTTCATATGTACTTGAAATTGCCACTTTCCACTTTGAAACAACTTTTGATATGAAGTGGTATTCCTAGGATTGTTACATAGTTCGTGCAAAATGTTGAGTAATGAAGAGAATATTGCTTCATTTTAAAAGACTAACTTGGTTTTTCTGTTGTGGCGCGGCCATTGAAGTGTGGGTCTCAACATTTATTTCATATTTCAATAAACACTTCGATAAAGTGTCCTTCGTAATCGCCTATGTTGAGAAAAATCTGCGCGTGCGCACCCTGGTTTTGATGCGTATAAACTGAAGGCTTAAACTCATCCTCAGACGTTAATCATCCTCCAACTACCTTCCTGTTCCCTGATATTTAACCGGACTCATTTACAGTGATTTGCATTTCTTTTCGGAGCCTAGCACCTAACTCTGGAATGTCGTTACTGTCGTTGTATCCTACTACCGACTGTGTGTGACAGAAAATGTCTATTCGCACTTACCATCGCAGATTTGAGTTGGATAATTCTGATCTAATGTCGTTCTTTTCCTCTAAGCATTTCCTGATCAAATTGAGTGAAATTCTGACAACTTGTACTGTATTATACTTCCAATTTTGACAACTTAGTATACTGCAAATATGTAGCCATTGTTGTTCCAGTACCTTTATTACTTTGATCGTGCTGTGATATGCGTAGACATGATTGGAGGCAGAAAGAATTGTTTCAACTTTCTACTGTTTTTGTCTTGATGGACCCACAACTTTTTCGGAGTTTTAGCCGAACTTTTCTGTAGCAAGCGTCTTCTTAGTCTCGTAAAACGAATTATCTGACTAACGTAACAATCCTTGATATTACGAGATTCATCATGTTTCTGAATTGCAGTTAGTTCTCGTTGATAGGCTTGGTATTGCGCTGAAGAAAAATAATCTTCATTGAGCATGGTGTTTATTACCAGGATGAAGGTTTGACGTGCCTCTCTGTAACTAATATTTTGTCTGATGACCTATAAGGGCTTACGAAAATTGTATAACATAACTCTCGTCCTACGGATGCTTTCTGCGCTTGACCTATCGTTCGTTCCACTAGTGGTGGGGAAATTATTCACACTGACTAGATGCTTGTATGTGACGGCCTATATGTAAATTAAAGGAAATGTCTTATTAGACTATTTGTGTTTCATTTGATCCTAATGTTTTTAGGTAAAATCTAGAAGCAATTATTCCTTAATTTGCTCTACCGATTCAAGATGAAGTAGGTGAAGTTGATGTAGCTGCGTGAAGCTTAGTTTGCAGTAGTCATAGTATCATTAATATCATCCATCCGAGCAACTTGTCTACCATTAAGTGCGTTGTACCTGCGAGTCACGTGTTTATCATTGAATGTGAACCTATCGGCAACAATCATCTATTATCTCACTTACTTGTCGGTCCTGTGAGAACTTACAGGTGCAGGTGTCTGACCAGTCCTATATGTTCTTTTATTTATTTGGTATTATTTGATGTAAATATTCGCAGGTTTCAAGGGGCTATAATAAAATGTTTTATAAACTGTCCACAAGACGAAAATTATTTATAGCGAAATAACTTATCGTGTTTTAATTTTTTTCGACCTTGATGCTCTTGTGACCCAAAATAGGAACCGTCTAATATCAATTCATGATTGTATATTGTGAAAATTTGTATATTGAACTGAATTGCCTGTTGAACTGAACGTATACACTGAAGTACGAAAAAAATAACAGTTTAATCACCCATGTAACATTTAAGTGGAGATTTTTCTCTCGATTCTCATCTTTGTAGCATTTTTTTAAACGAGAAACATTCGATCGAAAAGAAGCAGTTGTTGATAGGTTATCACTGCTGCACTGCCTTGAGAAAACGCAGGCCGCAAAAAACACTTCGTATGAAAACGCGAAATTTTTATTGTCTCTGCACAGTCTTCTGCTTTTCATCATGGTGAGTGCACCTATAATTTAATTAGATTTATGGCAAGATAACACGTGACATGAATACATGATATCCTGTTGTGTTAGACACTGATATCAACGAAGAAATCAAGTGTGACTTTGCATACATGTTATTTACTTGTCACTAAATGGAATAATTTTGTTTTATACATACATTGTGCAACGAATTTTGCAAATATTACATAAAAGATTCTCGAATTCTACAGCCTTTAATGGGTTATTTACGTGATTATGTATTTGCTTACATTTTGTAATCACTTTTTTTTATTTATAACATCTTTTGAGAAATTGTTGTCATTTTCTCAACAGGGTAAAGTAAGTCTGTTGTTGTTGTTGTCGGCCACGTTGGTTTTGCTGCGTCCAGCTGCAGCTCTCACAACCATCAGCGGCAGCTCCTTGCAATGGACGCTCTCTAATGACAGTAAGGCGCTGAATTATAAAATTATACTAGGCATAATATTCTGTAATCAGTGCTGCTTTCTACGTGTATTCCTGTATTTTATCATCAGAATCCCATCATAAAGTATGTAGTGCTTAAAAGTTACCTGCTGTCGTGTACTAAACCAAGGCGACGTGTACCATCGACATAGTAATGACCATGCCGTATGTTATCCAGCTACAAGCGTACCTGGTAGCGTACCAGGAGGAGTTTACTCCGACCTGCAGGCGGCACGAGTACTAGACCAGGGTGATGTGTACTACCGCTACAACGACCTCGACTACCGCTGGGTCTCCTACACTAACTGGACCTACTCGGCCACTTTCCAGGGTACAATTGAATGCAGTTCTTTTCGTGGGGATTGTTTATTATTCATAAATTTCAGCTATTGACCAAAGCTTAACATTTTATAGTTTGTGGCCTACGATTAGTTCAAGGCCGATAATTAGTACATTAACGGCGGTAAAAATGTCATCAGTTTTTTTTTTTGTCTTTAGAAACCGAAAGTCCGAAACGTCGAAAAACTCCGGCATAAACTTACATCATATTCACTTACTACTGATAGGCTACACATTACTAACAGAATAGGAAATTTCCATTGGTCACAATGGGTTGTAAGCCAGTAGTTTTCAGTGAAAACATCCAAATTTCTCTCAGTTTCGGAGAAGTTGAAAGCCGAGAAGAAGATTATACTCGAATTTGAAGGAGTGGACACAGTGGCTTCGATTACGGCTAACGGTGTATTGGTGGGTGAGACCAACAACATGTTCGTCAAGTACATCTTCGACGTCACCAGCATCGTGCAGGTGAATCTGATCGGCGCTTTTGTAAGACTTTGTCGCGAAAGGCGAATAAATTGTTGTATCAGAGCCGTTCGAAACAAACTTTTAAAGTAGTGAATAATTCTGTATTTTTACCTCTTGTGCGAACACAGAGTTGATAATAATTTTGCGCTAACTCGCCCTGATTTTCATTCCAGAGCAGCTCTGAGGTGACGCTAGAAATAGCGTTCGTGTCACCCGTCGAATGGTCTCGACGAGCGTACGAGGAACAGGCGGCTAACTACCCCGTCTTGCCGGAGTGCCAGGCGCCCGAAAGCAAGGGCGAGTGTCACGCCAACCACATCCGCAAGATGCAGGCGTCCTTCTCGTGGGACTGGGGCCCAGCTTTTCCAAGCATGGGGGTCTGGTAAGTGCACCGCCAACCGTCTTAAGATCCCCTCCACGTAACTAGTACCCAGAGTTCGTTAAGGGACGCCAACACAAAGCCATGGTCAGGACGCCACTTTTTGGCAGCGACTAAGCGACACCGAGAAATGTATTGAGCCTACCGAGGTTCGAACACAAGCCTAGCTCCTCTCATCTCGGCGCCGCTACCACTAAGCCAAAACGAGAACCACAACCGCATGATGAAGGAGTCTTTCTCGGGGGATTGGGTCTCCACTTAACACATAGACATATAACACAAGTATAAGTCTTCTATTCAAGCAATGTCATATGTTAATGATATATAGTAGCAACTGGCACTATTTAAACGGCTTTAGGGAACAATATTATTTTTATTTCACGTACTTTAAAGGTTTGCTGTCAGTTTATCTATAGAATCGCGCAGTGTATAAACTTGTAGTGACGTATTTTTAGTGTTGCGTTTACCTGGTGTTGTGCAGGAGACCGTTCACCATCATCGGATTCAGTTCGACGTATATAAGAGACATGACTGTCATCACGCGGCCATTCGAGCCGCTGCCGCCTCTGCCTGACCCAGACTTTAGGACGTCATGGGAACTGGAAGTTTACGTAAGTCTCGGGATGCTGTGTCGTACATATAATTTGTAATTGAACCAATTTAATTTGCCTTGGTACGAAAAGAGTAATGTAATTTGGATCATCTCGACCCGTCGCTTGACCTCAACTAAATTGATAATTCGATCATCTATGATAAGTGCCATGTATGGAATTTATTTCGAAGTATTTGAATTTTCCTTTCGCGGGCATTCACATTTGCCTATGTTGAACAATTCACCTACTATGTTAGTTGTAGTATGCCTTACTTCATAAGTAAATTCTAGTTAAAATATTATTTTTATTTGTGTTAATTTTTACGTGCATCCTTTGAGTAGACAGTTCCTTGTGCTCAACTTGCCTCGGATCTATTGTGTGAACTCTATACCCTTTTGCATGAACATGCAGTATTGGACATGAATAGGTCCTGCCCCGAGTGACCAGTTGCATCTCCATTGTCCACTTTTTATTCTTGATCACAGGGCTCAACTGAACCCAATGTGCACCTGCAAGAGTGATTGTTTATATGGCCTCTTTGTGAAATCCAATAATGCGGTGTTCAAGATTTGCAAATAAAAGCCTGCAGTAAATAGTTTTATGACCAGTCATTATTTTGTAAATAGTTTTATGACCGGTCATTATTTTGTAAATAGTTTTATGACCGGTCATTATTTTGTAAATAGTTTTATGACCGGTCATTATTTTGTAAATAGTTTTATGACCAGTAATTATTTTGTAAATAGTTTTATGACCGGTCATTATCTTCCTGTAGCTCGATATCATCTTGGCCGATCCTTCACTGGAATTGCGCGGGCAAGTGGATATATTTGTGGACGGCGTCAGGACTACGAGTGCCGGCGTCAACTTTGGACCATCCAGTACTGGCGATCTCATCAACATGACCATCACCACCTACTTAGGGGAGGTGAGCATTATTTTCTATTTTACGCATTACCTGATAACGGTAACCTAAGTTACTAGGGGCCGTTATTTTAAAACTCACTTTAGTGCACTTAGCGGCCTATTTCTTGACCATGACTGGTGGATTTAGATTGACAAGCGGTCAGTGATCGCTTGTCAACAAACTCTTAACCAGGGTAGCCTGAAGTTTTTTTTTGGGCAAATTCCGCGATTTAGCTTTTTTCAATTGCGCTGGCCTGCTAAAATTAATAATGGCGGTACTTTTTTTATTAAATTTTATAAATTGCGAAAAAGGAAAAATGGATTTTTTACACCGGAACCTACAAATATACTAGTATATATTGAATTAAAGGCCTTTGTTGACCTTTTTTGTCCGCGGACTTGGCCGTTTCTTAGGCCATCTGGCAATCCTGCTTTTAGTGTTTGATTAATTGTTCTCATAAGACACTGACTTCATTAATCCAGAGCAGCGTAGTGTTAAATTGTTTCCCGAAATTAATGCCAAGTTGAATTAGTTAACAGTGTAGACTATAATTTTTGAATTAAGTTAACACCAAAGATTTCTTAGTTCTCATATCATTAGTCTGCTTAAATCGCAAGTTTACCAAGAATTTAAAAGCAAATAAAACGCCCAGCAAATTCACCATATCTACTCGTTTTCATCAAAGATAAATTGAAATTATTGGCAATATCGAAGACTGGTTTTTTTTCGGACAAATTCCGCGATTTAGCTTTTTTTCAATTGCGTTGGCCGGCTAAAATTAATGATGGCGGCACTTTTTTATTAAATTTTATATATTGCGGAAAAAGGAAAATGGAATTTTTACACCAGAACCTACAAATAGTCTAGTATATATTGAATTAAAGGCCTTCTTTGTCCGCTGACTTGGCCATTTCTTAGGCCATCTGGCAACCCTGCTCTTAACTGTTTTTGATAGTACGGTCGCGCTTCTAGATACAAGTTGCAAGCGGTAGTTACATTCGGTAGTTACATTCGAAGAAAACATTACATTCATTTGCAGTTTTAACATGTATATGAATTATAGAGAGACAATAGATGTGGGTTTGATTAATTGTTTTCATAAGACACTGAATTCATTAATCCAGAGCAGCGTAGTGTTAAATTGTTTCCGGAAATTAATGCCAAGTTGAATTAGTTAGCAGTGTAGACTATAACTGTTGAATTAGTTAACACCAAAGATTTCTTAGTACTCATATCATTAGTCTGCTTAAATCGCAAGTTTACCACGAATTTAAAAGCAAATAAAACGCCCAGCAAATTCACCATATCTACTCGTTTTCATCAAAGATAAATTGAAATTATTGGCAATATCGAAGACTGGTAAAATAAATTTGTATCACATTTCGTTTCTATCAGGATTCTCAACTGTGGTGGCCAGTTGGCTACGGCAATCAGACGCTGTATCAACTGCAAGTTGAGTGTTGGAACGTAGACAATTCGGAAATAGCCATCCGCACCGCCAGAATTGGCCTCAGAACCGCTTTCATTGACCAACAGTTTGCCGACCTTTCGGCGCCCGAGGCAGGCGAGTAGACATTTATCCGCTTATCATTTTTTTGTATCCGTTCCTTTCAATAATACGTAATTGCTTTATTAGCTTCTGTTCAGGTCGTTCGAAAATTGTTGAAGTTCGAAATTTGTACTTACCTCTGCTTCAGTGTGGTAACAGTGGGACAATTCAATTCTTCTGGCGTAGGAAGAAGCATTTAAACTATATGAAAATATGTGACGCTAATTTACAGTACACTTCAGTTGTGTTGATTGTTTTAATAAAAATTATATTGTTCTCATGCATAGAACAGTCAAATGTGATGCTAATCTCTTTGAACAACGATGGCTGGAAGTCTAAGAATTTCTCTATTACTTTCAGGGCGACTATTTCGCCCTTACATCAATAATGTTCCGATATTCATGCGTGGAAGTAATTGGATCCCTGCTCATGTGTTGCCGGAACGCGTCACGCCATCGTACGTCCGCCAGCTTCTCGAGGACGCGGTTGCCGCCAATCAGAATGCCGTCCGTGTTTGGGGCGGCGGTTTATACGAAACCGAAGAATTTTACGATGTAAGTACTGCCGAAGCAAATTGCGGTGAAATATTCCGAAATTAATACAATTTCACTTTATGATTTCCGAAAAATTCTAGATGCGTTTAATTTGGAATAAATTTTGAGTGGATAAGAAGGGTTAGAAGTTTCAGGATGAATTCATTGCTACTAAGACTGAATCTACCAATTGAATTCATTGCTACCATTGCACGAAATTGGAATTGGGTGCGTGCTGACCTTCATAACATCCCACATGTTCACCCCTCTCGCTTGCATTTGCCTCAGAGGCTGTTGGTGAACATGTGCACCTCCACTACACAAGACCCCACTCATATCATCATCCTCCGCTCCCTCAACCACACGTTTTCCAAATATCTCTTCACACTCTCAAACATAGCTGCAGTTGCTCCCTCAGACAGACCCACAATCATTGCCATCCACTCTTCGCTTGTTCTCTCATGCCCCACTTCTTTAATCTCACCTCCTTCATTCAGAATCACCTCCATCGTAGACTGACGCTCTCTCTCATACGCTCCACAAACCATGAACAAGTGCTGCACAGTTTCCTTATCATCCTATCACACATAAAACATTTATTTTCCCTCCTCTCATTCCACTTGTATGTACGTCCATTCACACCAAGCGCCCCTAACCTAACACAAAACAGAAGGTCCCCACCTCTACAACCATCTTTCATGCATTCATATTTTGGCATCGCTTTCATCTAATACAGTCTTAGAATAGAAAAGAATAGAAGTGTAGGCACTGAAGAAATAGGCCCATGGCCTGTTGCCGATTCTTTGGCAGGACATGATGTTCGCCTGCAGCATGTATCCTACGAGTGATTGGTTCTTGCAAACCGTTACTGAAGAAGTCAACTCACAAGCCAAGCGTCTGAACTTGCATCCGTCTGTGCTCTTCTACAACGCCAATAATGAAAACGAAGGAGCTTTACGGGACAATTGGTGAGTTATTTCATTTATTAATCAAATAAGATTATCAAGTATGGCTCAAATATGAAGAGGCTCAGATAAAACCAATGCCATAACTGTGACCCCGGCTTTTCATTGCACAGTTGCGGCCGCAGGAAGAAATTTACTTCAAATTCTCATGCAGTGATTCTTTAACGCATGATAAGAGCAGTAACTGTAAGTTTTCCGCGCAAGCTACGTTCTTCGTTAACAAAGATTTGTTGCAGAAGTAATTCTCGCAACGGATAGCTCAGATTCTGAACCGTACAAGGATGTCAACCTACAACTGGCGAAGACTCTAGAACCGCGGCACCCGAGCACCTAGCTGATGCACTCTAAGCTTTTAAACCCCCCCCCCCATCCCTCATCACTTTAATAAGAGGGAACGAGTAGGCTGATAGCAGTAATTTAGAACTCACTGTAGGAGTACCTCAGCCGTGTGCCTGTACCTCTTTAATAACTTCCTTACCTGTCACCCTATAAGTCAAGTTAAGTCTGGATAAGATCCGTAATGCGATTACCTATCCCTCACATTAGTCGTTGAATCACTGCTCTCAGGCTGATATTTATAGATATTTATATAATCAGGAAGGCATCTAAATATTGCCTCAAATTTGACTAATGCGTATATCTTTTAAGGTATGGAACAAACGTAGACTTTGAGCAATACAAGTCTGACTACATCGAGCTGTACGTGAACACCATCATGCCGCTGCTGTCAAGCATTGATCCTTCACGAGAAGTGCAGTCGTCCTCGCCCAGCAACGGCATCCAAACCATCCTGGAGGGATACGTCTCAGAGAATCCTGGAGATCCGCGATATGGAGACAGTGAGATCAAAATATCAAGCTTGGAGCACCGTAGTATCAATTCATTCATGGATAATATCATGACCAGAGTAATTAAATAAACTGCATCTACATTTAAAATTCCCTATCATTATTATACTGGCACTCGTCAAACGATTTATGTTACTTAACTAATTGGGATTTTTGTTTGCTATTTCAGAGCATTTCGAACATTTAAAAAGTCTTTTTCGGCAGGATTTGTAATATCTATTTAGGTATTGGATTCACAGTATGCTTATATGTTGATAAATTTTTACAATGGATTATTCCGTGACATTTTAGTTCACTATACATACTGACACAATTAATTAAAATTTTCAGTCCATTACTACAATTACGCTAGCAACGGCTGGAACCCCAAAACCTACCCCAACGCCCGCTTTGCCTCCGAATATGGCTTCCAGTCGTGGCCTTCGTTCAAGTAAGTCACACACAAAGTGTATGGCCTGGTACGTTCTAAGCGAGTGTATTTCCTCAATAGACATTTATTGTTTAATGTTTGCTTTATTGTATTGCTACCGTGAAGTGCCAATCACTGTGAAACTAGCTTATTCCCAGGACAAGTTCACTTCACGATCCACTGCTAAATTAGATTTAATCTGTTAGCTACCAGTGCTTCAATATGTCAGCTGATAAATGATATAGGTAATTGATGATTATCAAATGCACATAATATAACTAAGCTAAAAGATTCAACGCTATCTACTGATAGGATTTAAGTATTACTTTTCGTTAAAATGAGTATTAGGGCCTTGCATGCATGAAGATGATTTTTTAAAAATTTCGCGCCTGACTCAAATTTGTTGTTTGCTATATTCAAGCAGTTACATTTGGACGAGAATGCATTTCACTCATCAGCGAAAGTTATTTAATAATTCTTTTTTTTTTCGAGACAAATCGTATTAAGTTCCTATTTTAGACTTTCCTATCAATTCTTTGCTATACCAAAAATTTTTAGTTACATGACACATGCATAATACAATACACAATTCATGTTATCAATATTGAACAGAAACTGAAATCCTACAATAATTGTACAAATTGCAGTAATTTACAACTTATTTTACTGAGTAGACCAAGACCCGAATCGATTTAGTCCCGTTTTCCAGAACTCTGTCACAGCAGACGTCGTCGGAGGACTGGACGATAGGGTCTGACATGCTGGAGCACCGACAGCATCATCCTAACGGACAAGTTGAGCTGGCCGCTCAGATCAGCATGCACATGACCATGCCAGAGGCCAGTGGTGGTCAGGCCGCCTTTGAACGTTACCTCTACCTGTCTCAGGTGCGAATATTCTCATCCAATTAGAATTTCCTTGGAATCCTTCTCAGTCATTGCACCTTGAATATCATAAGCGGAGTGTTTGTCAAGCACAATTTCACTACAAATCCACCGTTCACCATCTATATTACTAGCCTTTACATAACGTCCATATTAACATCGCTCATAAGCGCTGTAGCTCAACATGAATTTATTCTCCTCTGACCTATTTGAGAGTTCAGTCTGGCAGGATTTATCGTTTGTTTTCTATTGCGGTGTCAGCGTTGATTAGGCCATATTGGCCTGTCGTCGCCCGGCCTCCTCGCCGATTTTGACCAGAATAGTCACATGGACCTGGGATCGAACCCACAACTCACTGCCCCAATCTTGGGAAACTAACTGTAACCCCTGGGATTCACCGTTAATTTTGTTGTTGAATTTACTCAACTTCTATTGGTTAGGTGCATCAAGCGATGGCGATCAGGACGGAGAGTGAGGCGTACCGCCGCATGATGACCACCTTGGACGGGCAGGGCATGGGCAGCACCTCCGGGGCGCTTTACTGGCAACTCAACGACATCTGGGCTGGCGCCAGCTGGGCTTCTATTGGTCAGTACCGTACTACAGTTGTAAAGGCGTTGCTGTTACTTAGGGAACTATTAAATTTAGTTGAAAATTTTATTATTTTGAAATTTTTTTAAATTAGTAATATTTTTTAACTGGTAATTTTTATTTGTAATATTTTTTAATTAATAATTTTTTATTTGTAATTTTATAACATAACGTTTTTAATTATGAGTAATTAATTAATGTTATCCAGTGTGCTACCGGAACAGAAGATTTGGCTTTTAATCTATATTAAAGCATTATAGTTCTTATGGAACGCATAATTTCTAGTATAATTTATGTAGACTGCACAGTTGTTGCTGATAATCAAGGATAACCAGTTTTTTGTTCACAAGAAATTACGCAGCGTTAGTTCTACATTAAGGATATATAACTTCCAGTGATTGTCCTCTCTTCACTTGATATTTTTTTACTGTTCTTTCACACAAAATGACGATACGCTGTACTAAAAGTCAGCTGTTTTGTTTATGTCATGTTTGCTACTATTACTTGTAAATGTGGTAGAGTTCGTTTCTTTGAACTGTGCGTCATTCATTTGCCGCTTGGTTTTCCAGACTTGGGGTGTGATCTGGATCTGATTCCTCACTTCTACTACAAACAAATTTTAAAGAAATTACATGTATATAAAAACAATGTACCAATCGATTCCAATTAACTTGAAGTCTACTGTTAATATTGGCTGTAATATGGGCAATAATATCACTGGCTATTTACTCTTTTTCTCGTTTCTCAGAATTTGGTGGTCGCTGGAAAATGCTTCATTATTACAGCAAGAACTTCTTCTCTCCAATGATGGTTTCCCCCTTCATCGAGAATAATACGGTCAGTGATCTCACCTTCTGACCTGAGGCTAGACACCCACAAGCGATACTGTTGAAATAACATCCTCTCAATGAGTAGGGCATACTAAATAACTGCCCGTTTCAAAGGCAAAATCTTCAACTATGTATTTTACCTCATCGTAAAATTTACGATAGCCGTACAGTTATGAATGTGTAGCGGCAATTTTGATGAAATAAAGGTAAAAGCTGATGAAATATTGGATTTCTTTTGCTTCTGTTTAGTTCTTGACTAAACTGATTTAGTGAGTTCTGCACCTGTTGATTTTTCTTCATGCTTCGCAGGTTCATGTGTCGTTCGTGAATGACTTGCCGCAAGCAACTAGCAACGTCAATCTCCGTGTGCAGCTCATACCGTATGATATTTCAGCAAACTCTTTATCTGTTACCGTCTTCGATCTCAGCTTCGTGAGTGTCCAATCACTGAATTTCACTGTTCTTTGTTTTTAAAACAATTGACCATTTCTAAATACATGTTTTGGTGTGTCAATGGGAAACTGAACGACTAACAAAAGAACATCGTTACAAATGACTAATTAAACCATGCCAATGATTGCTGCTTTGGTGAAACGTGATTATTAAGTCATTCTAATGCTGAACTGTTGCGCGCCGCATCAATTGCCCCGGACACTATATCAAATTTTGGCTGTAAAACAATTTTCCAACATATAGGAGAACGAATGTACATTTATAATTTTCTGTCTTCTTAGCATCAAGCTTATTATCTTATTCATTTATGTGCAAGTTTCAGATGAATGATGTCATGATATATTTCCTTAGTTTTGCCGGTATCCAAAAATAATCGTATATTTTATACGATTAATAATCGTATATTATTTGTTTCACAGAACGCTTTGGAGGCTTCAGTTGTGGCGTCATTTGACCTAACCACAGACCTGAACTGGGAGTCAATTTGCAGCGACGCTGTGTACTCTAAAGAGGATTCATGTTACCTCACATTCGAGGTGTTCAACCAAGATGGCAGCCTACGAGTGCCCGAGACTTTCCTCCTACTGGGCGAACCGAAGAATGCAAAACTTTCTCCGGCACAAATCAGGGTGAGGACCTGTTCTTCTATGCAGGTTATATGATGGTACTTCAAACACTTTATGTCTAGATTTCTTATTTACTGCCTAAGAAGACGCATAATATGGTGACTATTGGTTCTGTAAGTAACTTGTGCTGGAAGGAATTATTGCTTAGTTTCGTACCAATCATATTGTGAAGGAAGCATATTAAGCTTCTGCAAGTTTTCCCCTGCTGAAATTATATTAAATGCTTGAATTGTCGTAAATTGAAATGTTCTGAAATGCTTCCATCGTCATTATTAATAATGGTGAACAAATCCAGCAATGTTGTAGGTATTTAGCAACTCTTGAATACGTTGCTGTTGAGTACTTTTTGTTTCTCTTTTTGACATGATATCCATCATTTCTGAACGGAGTGTGCACTTCCAACTAATGAGACTATATATAATAACATTAAAATTTTAACATCTATCGAGCTATTGCCATAATCTCACTATGTAACATGACATCAATTACTCCCGTTGCACACAAACACTTTCTTTTTACCACGTAAACCAATTTTGCATGAAGCAATGAGCATGTTGCTGCCTAATGTTGTCAGTAGGATTGACAATATAATTGATTTACCTTGATATATTTTCTGAATATACAGTACGTTAACCGTTTTCTGTCACCAGCTCTGTAAAAAGTATACAGTACATCTCATTTAAGAAAACGCTGACTCGCTCCCAGAAAGTTTAGAAGACGCTTTTTATTCCTCAGATTGTAGACGTGATGGGCCCCTCAGCTGATGGTGTGTACGAGATCGAGTTGTCTTGTGACCAAGTCGCTCTGTTTGTGTTCGTGGAGACGGACGTGGCGGGAGTGTTCTCGGACAATGGCTTTATCATGCACGGGGCAGGGAGGGTACAATACCGGAGTATACAATTCTGGGCCAGGGAAGAGACTACCGCAGAATTCCTCCTGGGGAACATTCAAGTGACGTCCTACGCGACTTGATCATGTAAGTATCTTCAATACTCACACGAATCGAAAAGGGGAGACGGTTGTTATGTTGTAATATTTTAAGGATAGCTATATAGTCAGTAAAAATTGACAAAAATGAACTTTTATTCTAAAACTTTATATCAAAGCGGGCGAGAACCGCAGATCATTTATAATACAAAATGTACAAAAGATTTTATTTCGGCCACCAAAATATTTCTACGAATTGCACATGATTGTCCCGAACATTTTGTTTGAGATTGGGACGGCGTCGATACTCGATGAATTATACAACAAATGAATTGATATACAACAGAAATTATGCACTCTCGATCAATTATCGCCATAAGTACAAGGTTAAGCGGTTTGTACCTATTACTGTAGCGATTGACTGAAAAACATGTGTGACAGAAATGACAGCATTTAAACTTCGCACTGGAAGAGAGTAAAGTTAAGTGAGAGTTGCGAAACACAGCTGTAACTATTCTATGTACAAAATTTTAACATCCGTAGAGATTCTTCTATTCCTGGATTTTTGCGACACAGCGAAATTTTGCTATCAAATTGAAAAAAAAATGATAAACGAGTGCCGCTATTGGCACCGGTTTTACAACGAATTAAAACAGTAAATTGTCACTAAATGCCTCAACTGATTACAAATAATACTTTACACTGTTAGCTTATATTAAAACAAATCTCTTAATTAAAGTATTCTTCGTTAATTATCAAGAAGTGGAGAAGGAGGATTTGAATTTACCAAAAAAATACAGCTCTAGGTTTAAAGTGATGATGGTATTATTTTGAGTTGATTCAATTAATCAGACAATAGCGGCGGTAAAGTTATATAACGAATAATTTCATTACACAGATGAAAAATTATTTCATAGATATTTTAGCCTTAAACTAAATTGGTATGATACACAATATGACTGAGTCTTACAATCTAACGCTTAGAATGAGTATTTATGCAGTATTTGAAGAAGCATCTGAACAATTTTAATCATTGTAAAATATATACCACGTTTTGAGGGAGCATATAAGTAGACGAAGTAAAAATGTAATAGAAGTAATGGACTGAAGTGTTTTTGCCGATATGCAACCTGGCAGGACAAAAATTCTAGACGTTTCACTAATATTAATAATAATTATTAATTTCACTATTAATAATGATTAATTTTCTCTTCCAAAACTAGTATACAAGTTGACGGAAAAAATTTCTCCCTGTACTGAACATCACTTATGCACAAGTCACCGACGCCAAGTGAAAAGCACGGGAATGCGTCAGCAAATTGCGTACTTTTGCGTTCACAGTAGCATTTAGTCACATTTGCATCAATTAACTTCACAACCTAATATGTACAAAGGTGAAGTTCCTCAGGAGTCTGACGGATCAAAAGCTAGAAGAATTAGGCTTCTTTGTATTAAAAAATAATCGTCTTCAGTTACGTCGCATGCAAGCGCTATGCTCTGGGACGGAAATTAGTTTGTTCACTGCCGCTCATATTTACACATAAATGATATATTCAGATCAGCTGTTGTTGATAAAACATCCTACATGCTAGTACTTCCGTGCGTGACATTAGAACATTCTTGTCAGTTGCGGTATGCAAAAGGCATTGTGAAGCATGAAGTAGGCAGCTGATTTGCTTCAATTACACTCTTTTCTCTTCGTAACTGTCAACTCTTGATGCACGGCTGGTGTACTAAATAGATGTTACTGCGGCTTACATAGCATTGAAAAAAATTCTAACAATTTATAAAATTTAATCATTAATCATCATTCATTTCGGTATTATTTTTCTGATTAAACCAATTTTTTACTCGAGCAAGGAGTAAATAGTTATTTAATTAATAATAGGAGCGCGCGGACACCTGTTATCACTTTAGGCAAGAAATAACATCGGCTCCGCAACATATTCACAGACTCTTGCAATTTATCACACCACATAGCAGATCACGTCACCATTCACTCACACTAAGTCATATTTGATCTGTTTGGCTAACCGCATTCCATTACCCAACAAAAAGGGATGATTTGTCCTCCAAATATGCAATTTTCCCCGGTTTGGGCAGCACTCGTGTAGAAACAACATTGCCTCCTATCTTATCTTAGAAGTCATCGGGTCCATCGTATCTGCCCCGTTGTGGCGAGGCAGATTCCTCATGTCAGAAGTTGGCCTCAGGCCTCCGCTTGGCGTAGGTGGCGGAGGAGCCGTAAGGTCCCGACCAGTCAGTGCGCCACGAGTCGTAGATGTTGATGTTGTAGTTGGGGTTGTAGCCGTGGCCGCGGTTTGAAGGCGGCTGCAACGAGATTGTCATCTTATTAGTCTAACCAAAGCCGTAGTCATTTGACGTATAAAATTAAACCGCAATAAAAATGCTAAATATTAATACCAAAACTTAACTATTCTATATTTAACGACCTACGTGCTCACTCATTGTTTCAAGATAATTTTGTTAGCTTCACATAAGTACAGACGTCACCTCTCAACTCTCGAAGCTATGTGCAGTGAACTTCATTTCAAAACATCACAAACCTTCATGTTCCGATCTGCCATTTTCTCGTTCCAGATGGCCTCCATGTCGTAGACGGCGTCGTTGTGATAGTTGTCAACTGGCATTTGGTTTGCGTTGAGTTTGTTGAGGACTTCCTCGGTGAGCGGAACGTTGCGTCTGCGCACCCGGGCTCGGCTCACCAACTGTAGGGCGATTTTATCGGTATCAACTATTATAAAATTGTATTTTTGTGGCAATTTTTTATAAGTTATACCCGCAAATACAATATCTTGGATTGCAATATTTTTTTTCCTTGCATTTTCCTGGAGCTCCAACGACGAATGTCGATGGAACAATTTCAATGATATGTGCTACTGATCAGAAAACGATACACAGTCGGCATTATGAAAAACGGATTAGAGTAGGTAACGGTTTCTATGAAATTTATTGTTCTATTAAAGGCACAGTAATCAATGAAATGCGTGATGTCAACTCACAACGGCGATGCCAAAGATGATGATGAAAAGGAAGGATGCCAGGCTGATGACGATTACAGCGATCAGCCACTCAGGTATGAGGTAACTGCCGTCGTCACGCACCACACTCCGCAGCGGCTCCTTGACGACTGCGCGAGCAATGCAAAACATTCTCATTTATGTTACCTGTCAATCTGTCATATACCCATAAACTCGAATAATTTGAATTAATTACGCACTTCATGAATTTGTAAAATGCAAATATTACAAAAATGAATGTGTCATGCGTGAGCTAGTCCGTAAACTCAGCCGAGGAACTGGATAGGCCATACAATGCACGTCATGCAAATAGGTCCGAGTTTTGAAACCTGATAATAATTTCTAACCATAAATAATGTTCATGCATGTCAACCCGTTTCCCAATTAATCAGTTTCTGAATTGAAACCCTGAAAGATACGGCGTTGTGTGCAAGTTACTCACAGATGTGCAGCACTGCAGCATGTGTGAACAAAGCATTAATTATGCATTATGAATTGTAACAGATATAGTAAGTAGGAAGTAGGAATTGTAACAAATATAATGTATGATATTATTATTGATCACCTAAACACGAGGATTTATATGAATAAGTATGTTCGTTTATTAACACATGCACAAAGGAAGAAGTTAATGTTTGATGATAGTTAGCTTTCTAGAATGATCAAGAATATAAATCCGTCACAGTGTACACATTAAACTTTTTCGTTGGATAAATCTGAGATTATTAGATTTTTTTCAATTTTAATAAAGCATAATAACAGTAAGAGGACTCACCGACGAAGTCAGTGCCTTCAGGATCGACAGTAAGCGGTCCGAGTTTGTGCTCGGCTCTGTTGGAGCTCTGCAAGAGACCGTTCATCATGTGCTTGAGGTCGACTGTATCCAATGCGGTGGTCACGTCGTTCAGTTGGAGGAAGTAATCCACAAAAACAGAGCCGGGATTGAAGGCGTCGACTTCAACGTCTACAAACCATCTGTTGATACGACTACGCTGATAGAGAGCGTTGAGTTCGTTAGTGACGGATTTCGCGAGAGTTTGCCACTCTTTGGTGTCTCTGTTGGCAAGCTCGGGGGCCCATTCGGCACCGTCCACAATGCGCAAAGTCGCAGCCAGACGACATTTTTCTCCGCACACGCCTTCGTTACGAGAGATTCATGAATTACGTACATACATTGATTTCTCGCTTGCAACAACTTTAGTTTCATAAAAATAGCAAACCTCGTCCAACAAAAAGAAATTCTTTCATTTACGAATAGCGACAGCTTAACGAAATTAGATGAACTCTCAAATAAAATGGATTAATCAAACTAAGTGAATAAATTCAAATTCATAACTTCGAGATCAAAGATTGCTTTGGACAACGGAAATTTTGTTTACGGAACGTTCATTTAGTAATATAGGTACTTCAACAGGCTTAGTTTTAATAATTGAAAACGAAGTTTTGCAATGTACCTATGTTAGTTTTAAAATATTTTACTTGAAAGATATCGGTAATTATTCATGTTGAAACTAGAAGATTCTTTCCACTTTGAGGGAGGAAAAATTATTTACAAATCGTAAATATTGATACGAATAATGCAGCAAATCGAACATAAAATATAAGCTTTAGTGGAAAAATAGAAGAGACCAAAAAACACATCACATTAAGGTCATTAATTAAATGGAAGAGTACCTGGAGTAGTTGGCCGTGGAGGAAGCGTTGTAGTCGGGGTTGCGGTGGTTGTAGAGGTGGTGGTGGTTGTGGTAGTCGTGCTGCTTGAGCTTTCAGAAGCAACTTCTGCCTGAAGCTCAGCATGCGTCTTGGGTGCTTTTGTGGGGGCCATAACTACTAGCTTCGGCGTCGTCTTAATTCTGAAAATTCATTGATAGCAATACATATTCCTGCATTGATCACTCAACAACAAGAATATAGACGCCTACTCTCTCAACTTCTTTCCCATTCGATAAAATAAGGGTGATCATGAAGGAAAATCCAAGTTACAATGACAAATGGACAAATTTAGTGTATTACCTACACTAAATTTTTCACGATTGAATTCAATCATCCGCAAACATGAGGGTGAAGGAGATTAATGTCCCAAGTGAACATTGAACAATTAAATTATTATTCAATACTATCATAAAATATACCATTAACACTATTATATTGTAGGGGTTGAGCTCTTAATATCCGAGACTAAATTTTTCACGATTGAATTCAATCATCCGCAAACATGAGGGTGAAGGAGATTAATGTCCCAAGTGAACATTGAAGAATTAAATTATTATTCAATACTATCATAAAATATACCATTAACACTATTATATTGTAGGGGTTGAGCTCTTAATATCCGAGACGAGAAGTGAGGCACACTGTAAACGGAGGATCAAGCAGTATTAGGATCCTACAGAAAAAATCGATATTAGATACACCCCGGTATCTTGTGATGAACTCACCTGTCGAAGACGTTCACGATGGTTGGCTTCAACAGCAAAGGTGCTGAAGGCTCGGAATCGGAAACGCTCGACGGAGTCGTTGATAGAAAAGATGGCCTGTCGTTTCTCTTTGGGAAAATGAGTCCTTTGGGATTCTTGCTGGTTTGGTATGGAGCTCCTGGAGCCGTGACTGCAGTGGTTGCAATCAAAGCTTCGGTGGTCTTGGGAGTCTGCGATGTGATGTTATCAGCTCCTACTGGAACGTTAAAACCCTTGGGAAGCAGAGAAGCTGGAACATCGGATTTCTCTCGAACTAGAGGGGTTTTACCCTTTGATTTCTCAGGTACGTTGAACCCTTTCGGTAACAGGTGAGCAGGGACCTCTGCTTTGGCAACAGGTATATTAAATTCAGGTTTATCTTCCCTTTGCTTTTTCTTGTCTTGTAAACTGAAGCCGGCGGGTAGCAGCGATGCCGGAGGATCTGAAGGTTCCGAGTTACCGAAAATTGCGGCCAATAGAAGTTCTTCCTTCGTAAGTTTAGGAGAGCTGTTTGATCTCCCTTCAACAGCGCTTGTGTTTCCTTCAGCTTCTTCAATCATGTCGACTAAATTTTCAACAGTTTTTGGTGTGGTAGCTTGTATGGATGGCTTGCTAGATGTCGCACTTTGTTTACTGCTGCTGACACTGGAATTGTGAGTTGATGAGCTTTGACTGGTCGAAAATCCCGCTGGGAGTTTTGAAAGATCAGCGGGCTTTGCTTTCTCAAAAACTTTCTCCAGAAGAGAAGAAAGATCAAAATTTTCAGTATTTGAGAGCTTTTCAGCCTCGGTTGTTATATCGATTATACTTGCTTCAGTGTCTGGCTCATTCCTCGTTGTGATATCTTCTACCGCCTCTTTATCACTGTCGTTATATGTAATATCAATATTCTCAAAAAGAGCCGTGAGACTAGGCTTTGGTTCAATTGAAGGTTTCTCAAACAAAATTTCAGTTGGCGTTGTTTCTTCGTCAAGGTTTAGAGCGGAACTGTAATCATCGCTTTCTTCGTGTCGCATACTCATGCTACGAGAGGTCTGAACATTGGCTACAACAAAGGTACTTTCTGTAGTGTTCGTGATACGGACTTCCATCCGAGGTTCACTAGTAGTCGAAACAACAGTTCGAGGTGTCGTAGAAGTTATGGTGGTAGATTGTGTAGTCGCAACGGTTGTTTCTTCGGGTGTAATCGTTTCATACTTAATGGTAGGCGTTGTAGTTTCTAACTCAATTTCAGATAAAACTCGAGCGTCACGAGAGTTTGATAGCTCGTTCGAAGTTGGCGGAGGTTTTTTATCGTTCTTTCCGCCCAAAGATGCCAGCAGTTCTGAGAGGGAATAACGAGTGTTCGATGACCTCGATGATGGAGTCGTAGACCTTCGCTTTGCAGTGGCTGGAGTTGTAGCATCGCTAGGTCGGATGAATTTCCGTGTAGTCGGCTGATTTTCTCTGACTAAAGGAGGATCGATTGGACCCAAATCTTCAGGCTGATTGCCCCTTTTCTCCGAATCATTTCCTTGAAGGTTTTCTTCATCGTAATAATAGTCTTCATAGTACTCATCTTCAAGATAATCCTTGTTAATTGTTTGATTTAATTCTGAAGTCGGTATAGAAAATTTTGACGGGGGAGCAATGTTTTGCGGGAAAGATTCCATTTCCTTTACAGGAATATCTGCAGCCTTGGCATGTGATGGACTGACGGAAGCAAGAGCCGCCGCTTGGTGTGGCGATACAGGTCGCACGAATCTTTCACCTCGATCTCGTGGTATGAATGTTATTCTTGAGGATGGCCTCGGTCGATTTGACCCAAATCTAAATTCGGTTTTAGACGTTGCAACTGGCCTCGGCGAAGGAGATTCAGGAGGTGATTGTTCAGTTTCGAATCGAGTTTGCTTGGAGGGAAGACTAGGAGGCGAAGAATCGTTGCTTTCTTTTTCGCTGAATTTTTGTTGCTGAAGAGCTGGCGCGAACCTCGACTGCAACGTTGGAGGAGCGGATCTGGACGCGGACAAAGCCCCCGGGATGAGATGGGGAGGTAAATTTCTGGACCTTGGAGGTGGAAGCGACCGAGACGTCGGAGACTGCACGGACTCTTGTCCTGATAATTCAAGAGCCCGCACGTGTGTTGCCAGTGTTTCAGCTCCCACTCCACTGGCATCTGTCGAATATGATGTATATTAATAACTGTTTTAATGCCGAAACCATAATAACTATAGAATTCCCTTAAAGAATACACGACGATAGTAACTAATGCCGTTTTGTATAATTTATCAATTGTGAGTTGAATAGTTCAGCGATAAGTACAAATTTTACAATTTAAAGCCCTCGGTCACCCCTGTAAAGCCCTCGGTCACCTGCAGAAGTAACGAATAGGAAAACTTGAACATAAGCATTAAAATAATTGCACAAATGAAAATCTTATAACTGTTTTGGAGTCACCGAGCAATGAACCCGAGTTTAATTTAGTTGGTATTCTAAATGATGGGTCGAGTCTCACGCCGGAACTAATCTGCTCACAATAAACGAGAGGGCGTCTCGCTGGATGTCTTTCTTCAATGAGTCATGCACGGCGCGCTGAATTACGGAGAACACCAAGAGTGCAACGGGACGCACGAACAAAAGTTCGTGTGCAAGTGTTTACCCTTTCTTGCCATAAATGGGAAAAAAAGCGACAACGGTCTTATAGCGATGCCAGGCTATTGTTTAACGCGCATAGCAATTAACGAGCGCACCGCTTTAGTTGCGATGGCGCTGTGTGCGGGGAGCTCGTGGGAAGATGCATCATCCCGTTGCGAATTTTTAACGGACACGAAAAATTAAAAATTGCGCTCAGAGTCATATTAGGATCAGTTAAAGTATTTGACAGTATTTGCCATTAAAATTTTCTGTAAAAAGCCGAACCAGAATTTGCAGGCGAAAATTTGATTTCGGAATTTTCAATCAATCCAAATTAAAACTTTGTTAAAACTTGCTATAAAAGTTCAAAACGAATTAAACAAATTGAAAGCAGCAGAAAAAAAGTTGAGTTCTGCTCAAAAATCGAATACTTTTAACCAGTGATCCTTGATAAACAAGTGAATTATTTTAAAACTTTGATGGACTTCTGTCAATTTTCGTAATATTTATTATAAGTTTAGACTTCTGTCTATTTTCGTAATATTGATTATAAGTTTATAGACTTCTGTAAATTTTCGTAATATTGATTATAAGTTAACAGAGACTCAATGATTCTTTTTACTTTCCTTGTTCTTAAAGAGTTATTCAGCAGTTAAGTGCCAAATACGGACGCAAAAATTTCCATTTATTTATTTTTAAGAATTCAATCTGTAATTTTGAATTTAAATTGTACTTGCATAATATTTTGATTTAGGTGATAATTAAAAATGTAACCATACAATGGGTTAAGTTCGTTTACGCGTGCAAGCACCGGAAAAGTTTTTTTCATTAACAAAAGCTAAACACAAATAAATTTGTATTCTTTCAAGTAACAGAATAATTGCAAAGCGCTAAATTGTAAATTATTTTCAATGCATGGTAATACGCACTCCCAATTTTCAAAAAATTTTCTCTCAAAAACTATTATTAGTGATATTGAATGTGAACATCGATGTTGAAAGTGTATATCATAAGTAAAAATAGTTGAAAATCTTATTAGTCCGCATCACCACGACGTTCTAATTAAATTTTAACTTCTGCAAGCAAGTCAGTTGGCAATCAATGAAGATCGAAATGTCGCCATATGTGACCAAGTTCAGTGATTCCAGAACTGCAAAGCTTGGCGCAAGTGAAGAAGCGCTCACATTATTCAAGGTACGTCAAGAAAGAAGCTTATGTTGCTTGCAATCTTGCCATTAGAAAATACTCATTTTAAAATACAAATTATAGAGTATATATACTGCTCCTTCGAGCAGTAAAGCATCAGCAGTGGAAGAGAAAATAATGCAACTGATGTATGATGAGCGCAACGCAATATTACCAGGATGGGCTCAGTAATACAACATTTTTACAACAAAGTATTATGTTAAAAAAACGGGAAATCTTAAGGTAAAGCAGGAGACGCATGTGCAAAAAATTATGCATTTCGGTCTAGCGTCCGACTATTCACAGCGGTGTCTTTAATAGATAAATTATTGAATTCTATGCTGTATACCCCACCTTTACAAGACATACATAGGGTATTATATCATATAGCTCATTTAAAACTTTCATTAAATTAAAATGCATACGTTAGTGCATCCTATACCCTAAACCAAAACTTTCTATCATTACAAGAAATTAGTAGGAAAGAAAATTCTCAGTGTCTCCTGTCTCGATAGCGAGTTATTTTCTTGACAAGAATTTGGAGATAGTGATGGTATGCTTGTAATTTCAGACCCCGTCCTAATGGAATAAGGCTGCTCAAGAAATTACCGCTTTAGGAGATTGTTTCTCTGGTTACAAATTTGCATAGGTTCGCTATTCAGACTTCTAATTTACTCAAGACGAGCTACGAATTTTTTGAAGCAGTGAACAGCGAGAAGCGAAGTGGCCTAAGTGGAAAGAATCTCCATTAGCTTTTTATTGCGAATTGGCACATTCAATCATACGGCGATTAATGGCGAATCGTTGGCAACAAGTTATCTTGAAAAAAAAAAGACAATCAATACATTGCATTGAATGGCAGGCAATAAAATGACGTGAAAATTTCTCAAGATGTCAAATCACAGCTTACTTTCTATTTAAGTAACGACGGTATTGCACTGCAACATATAATTCTATTTCTCGCCATAGATGGGAGTGCCGACCGGATACCTTCGCCAGCGCCTACGGTCAGGTGGCTGCGGTATAACCGGTTCATATCGCCCGTTAAAACGGAGAGCAAAAGGAGTGCCGGACTACCTGCTTCCACGGCGAGCAAGCTTGCGGGAATCGCCGCCGTTATCCACTATGCACTTTATTGAGTTCAACTCAAATTATTTGCAGGGTTCAAGGACCGCGCGGCGTCACATGCATTCGATGACATACTCGCGCTAACATCAATGTAGCGAGCACATGTTATGGCTGAAGACTCCAAAAATGCAAGTATCAGTAACACAGAATATACATGCTAATCAAACCGCCTACTTATTTGAATCGGAGTGATCGCGTCCAGATGTGGACTGATTACTTGGAAGCAATGAATTCAAAATTATTTCCTGAAACATCGGTAGATTTGTCCATGAATTTATTTAACTTCAACTAACAAATTTCTTCCTTGAAATCCATGCAAGCTCAGCTAAGTTCTGAACACAAAGTTACCCTCTGAACCATGTTGACCGGAGAAAGGTATACATGCAATAGAAAACCAACGTCTGATGCCATATGTCGGAATAGAAATGCGATCGGAGGCTTACAGAGATCACTGGAAATTTTCCACCTGCCGTTGATGAAACATTTATAAATAAAATTGCCAGTCAAAGCCTCCTGACACAAATTAGGATTTCACACAACTAAGAATAAAAAGTTAGGAAGTAATTAAGAAAATTTAGTCGTCCGTCAATATTACGCAGCAAGGTGAGGGTGTCATTCGTTTGAATGAAAATAATTGCAATCAACTTCCAATTAGAGTTTCGCACTTCAGAAATCAAACGGGAATTCATTAATTAAAACTTCAGAAGTTGATTGAGTCGCAGAAGTGAAGCTCACGCGAATCATCCGTTTTCAGGCGCGGGTTAAGATTGCAATAGTTAATTAAAAGCTCACCTGAGCTCCGCCTAACTCTGTTCTCTGTAAAGCTGCTGATCCCGATCGATAATAGCCAGGCAAACATTGCTAATGTTTGCTGCTCAAACGTCGTCATGAAAAGAAGGGAAGCCTTCGAAAAAAAGTCTCTAAGCAGAGGTGAAATATTACCACAAAGCTGCCGACACCAAATGAAACAGCTCTACTTTATTGGTCTTTGCGTTTATTTTCTGAGTTTTATGTTACTTTTTAACAGCAATATCGTCTCAAATCCAGGAGTCACTGATGACAATGGGAAGGAAATTCTAGTATTCTGAAGGAAAATTTTTAATGGTTCGTACCAAAATGTTTTTGCAATGTATTCTTTATCGTGATTTGCTTTACATAACTGATAATTTATATGATAAAAAAAATTAAGTAACGGAGTGCCATACATATAAGCTTGTAATTTATGTGAACAATTACGATCCCGACTGAATAACTTGCATCGTTTGTTGTCACTTATAGAAGCATAGACAACTACAATATAATACAAAATAATTTACTACACATAAATTAATACCAAACTTACATTAAACAGTATATTTATTATTAATCCGCAAACAGATAAAATGACACGGAAGACGAAAAATCATGAATAAAATTGCGCGCTGTGAACCCCTTTCACGTCCCGGCACAGTGCCGAAAAGCTAATATAGCGAGAAATTTACTTCCGATTACGAATGAAATTAACACCCAAATTGACGACAGTAATTAAATAAAGTTGAATTTATTGCTCTACAATTTCTCGTTGTCGTCAAGGCGTCGAGCATGATAATGCAATGTGTGTGGGATCGTGCAATGTGTGGGAGTTCTCGATCATGCAGACATAACAACAATGAAATATTTATGCTCCATAAACTTTATCACGAAGGATACCAAGGATAAAATCTATGGAACTTATTCGACGAAATTTAAAACGATGGATAAAATTACGACAAAGCTGCAGTGTTTGGCCCGTTATCTTAGCGAGTTTGTCTAATACTAGATCGTTCCCGAGGGTCAATTGGTCAGAATTACAGAAAGTCACGGTAAGTCGTCACGAATTGCCACGTTCGTTATTTTTTATTGCACGACTTTAAGAGAAAACGCAAAAGTTTTGACGATCAAGACGCGCGGGTCATTTTCACACGTTATGCACGGCTGCTTGTATTGCGGTGTAACGCGCAAATTTCTAATTTGATACAAAATTATTCCGCAAAATTACTATAATTAACTCTTGCCTCTGAGGAACTACATAGTTGCGTCAAAAAAGTTAACAATTGGTTGAGTATGTATGAGCTAATAGACAACTCCACACTTACCTATCGAGCAAAGTAGTATATATAGTATAATGGTTATCATGAAAATTCACAAGGTTCTCCGATGAATATTGCCAACAAGGGGATGATTTGGATAAAATGATGGCTATAAATTAATTGTTTATTTGCATT